TGAAAGATGGTCAATTTAGATTACATATAAGGAAGGAATTCTTTACAATGAGGGTGATGAGGCTCTGGCACAGGTTCCCAGAGAAGCTGTGGCTGCCCCTGGATCCCTGGAAGTGTCCAAGTCCAGGTTGGACAGGGCTTGGAGCAACCTGGGAAGGTGTCCCTGCTCGTTTCAGGGAGTTTAGAACTAAATAACCTTTAAAGGTCCCTTCCGACCCCGACCATTCTATGATTCTATAACTCCGTGTCCCAGCTGCAGACAGAGGCCAGCGAGCACCTTTGGGGAGCATCCTCGGGATACCCAGTGCCGGGATTCTCTCCTCTCCCTCCCTCCCTCCCTCCCTCCCGAGGCGTCTCTTGGCAGGTGGGGGGAGCCGGCGGTGGCCCCCAGCCCCATGTGCCGGCATATGCTGCCCTCTAGAGCCAGCACCCAAATCTCGCCTTTTTTTTAATAGGAAAAAGCTCCCAGAAAGTCCCGACAATCGTGTGTCAGAATGGGAAAATCAGTGGGAGTTCCCCCCCGGGCTCGGCAGGGTGAGACCCCTCGGGGGGATCAGTCCCACCAGCACGGAGGATGCACAGAGGGAACCTTGGCAATCTGCCCAGACCATCATTATTATTCCTAATAATTAATAATGATCACTTGTCTCTCACTCCAGCACACACAGGGGGTCTGTCACACAGCTCCAGCCAGGCACCATCAGCTGCTGTGCCAAAAAAACCTGAGCACTGACCCTTCCTCGAGGAGGTGAAAGTGGGGATTTGCCCAAAATCAGCGTCTCCCATTTGCCTTTTTTTTTTTTTTTTTTTTTTTTTTTGCTCCTATGAGCTCTGATGCAGCTCACATCACGTATATTTTCTATGGGACTGACACAGAACTCTGTCCCTTCCTGCTCTGAGTCTCTCACCCGGAGCGTGTCCCCCATGATTGTGCTCTCTTCTTCTTCCCCAAACAATTCCTCTCCTCCACCACACACCAGCATCCCACTCCTATTTTTTCCACCCCTGAAGACCTCAGAGGAGTTGCAGCCATTAACAGGAGGTGAGAATCTCGCCCTTCTGCTTTAGTTGCTTCCAATATTTATTTTTTTTTACCTCTTCCCACCTCCCAAAACTTTCCACCCCGCAGGCTGGGCAGGGGTGGGGCACATCGGGTCACTGGGGTGTGTTTGTCGCTTGGGGGTCCTCCTGCACGCTGGATAAGGTTTTCCAGTGAGCTTTTGGAGTCTTAATCAAACTGCAACAATCCTGAGCAGTGATGTTTTCAAGGCCAGTGCTGGTGCAGAAGGCACCGTGCAGGAGTTGGCTAAACTGCTTTTCCCTAAATAAATCCCAGTTCTATCCTGCTACTAAAGCCCACTCGGACAGCCTAGTTATTCTACTTGTTTTGATAAAAGACTAAGAAAAAGACATCAAAAAGCTTTACTTTAAGCTGACACTTCAACAGATATATGTGAAAGTAAAATTTGTGTATTTTTTGATTACCCAGTGACCTGAGTGTCTGCTCTCCTGCCCATTTGTTTGGGGTGAATGGCCAATAACTCCTGGAATTTCTGCAGGGACAAACCCAGCAGGAAGTGAGCCCGGATCCCACAAACTAGAGGGGATCAGGAGAGCAGGATGGGATGGGATGGGATGGGATGAGCCCGGGATTTGGGCTGAGCCCTCACTAGAGGGCAGGAGCGCTCTTTAACTGCGCAGCTCCCGCTCCTCGGCGTTTCTTGCACAATTTCCCCCGTTCAGTGGGTCAGTTGGACACTTCAGTGACTCACTGCAGGAAATGACCCTGCAGTGGGGCTGCACTTGGTGTCTGCTGCCCTTCCCTTGGTGCTGCCAGCCCGGCTGGGGCAGCCTCCAGCCAGGGCTTCCACCATCTGCTCAGCCTTCCCGGCAGGTTTGGCTGCCAGGGAGTTTCTCCCAGCGAAGAAATATTTAGGGAGGGAGGCTCCAGATGTTGCCCCCACATCTGGCACGTCTCTGGCTGTAAGGTGAACTTTAGCACTGTGTTCTCACCCGATAGCAAAGCAGGTACCCAAAATATTCTTAATTTATTCTTCTTGATGTAGCATCAGCACCTGAAAAATTGGCTCTTTGTGGGGTGTTCCAGCTTTGCTCCCTCTTGAAGGTAACCAGCTACTGCCATCCCTTTCCCTTTGCCCAAACGTGCTGCAGGATCCATCCCTGTGGGATCTCTGCTCTGTGACAGCCTGAAAAGTGACATCTCTCTCCACAGATCTCCTCCTGCTCTCCTGGCCACAGCTCTGCCCTTAACAACACACTCAGATGGACACAATCAGCTCGGAGGTGTTTTTCCCCAGCTGACTCCAGGGGATATTTAGAAGCATCAGGTTTTCCCAGCGCTGTGAGCTACATCTTAATGCAGAAACCACAAGAGAAACTCCAGCTTCCCCTGGAAGGCAACACATCATGGGCACAACGGGGCTTTTTATATCAGAGACTATGAAAAGACCTTCCAATTTAGTAGCTGTTCTGCTCATATCTCACATTATTGCACACACGCTTCTGCCTTGCCCAAGCCTGAAAGCGGGAGGGTGTAAGAATAGCAGCTTGTTACTTCATCTGTCTGCTTCCTGTGTGTACTCCCAGTCGGGTCTGCTCTCATTAGCATCACTCGCTGCAGCTCCTCGTTACTACTGCTCACTAATACGAGTGAGTCAGCACAGCTCAGCGTGCCTACAACAGCCACCATCTACATCTGTGCGAGCCAGAGGAAAACTTCGACCTGAATCTTTCTTTTCTTTTATTGGATTTATTAAGCAAATGCGCTCAGGAGCTCTCCACAAGCCTCTCAACGAAAAAATTAATGAGTGAAAAATGCATACTCTGCCTCCTATACCTTCTGCTGAGCCCTGGGTGTGTGAGATGTTTAAACAGGCTCATGAAGTCACTTTAGAAGCTGTGTGGAAAGCTTACAGAAATAGCAGCCTCGTGAATGATTTATTTGATAAGGGAAGTAAACAGCCTCTGACAGCTCACCAGGCTTCAGATTTATTGGCCCATAGCACAGGGCTACCTGCAAGTCATTGTTGTGATGTTTGTCCCTAATTAGGTTGTAGAAATGAGTTAATTTTCAAATAGGAGCATAATTATTTTATTATTGCCTGGAGTCCTCCCCCTGGGCTCTGCTGTCACTTCCCTCTGGAGTGAAGTCACTTGTCCCCAGGGAGCTGCCACTGCTCCCTGGGCTCAGATGAAGGAGGGTGTGTATGTTGGGATGGCAGACAGGGAGCAGGAGCACAGCATTGTCCGTGGCTGCCGCGGGGCTTCCAGCAGCCGTGCTGGGCAACCTGGGCTCACGTTTGCCACGCCTGCCCTGAGCGGGGATTTGGGGTGTCTGTAGATGCTGTGAGGATGATCTGAGGCAGCAGCACTGGTGTCTTGTTGCAGTCAGCTTTGCACAAATCCCACCTTTGGTCCCTTTTCATAAATCACAGAACCATTAAGGTTGGAAAAGACCTGCAGTGTCATTCTAGTGAGTACCACCATGCCCACCACAGTGACCCCACCACTGCCCCGGGCAGCCTGTTCCAATGCTTAACCACTCTTCCCATCAAGAAATTTTTCCTATTATCCAATCTGAACCTTCTGGCATAACTTGAAGCTGTTTCCCCTCGTTCTGTTGCTGGTTGCCTGGGAGAAGAGGCTGACCCTCACCTTGCCACCTACAACTTTCCTTCTTTCAGACAGTTGTAGAAAGTAAATTGTAATTGATTAATTTTAATTTTACTGCTGACTCCTCTAAAAGAAAGATTCTGCCATGACAGTGAATTTGGGAAAAAAGGAAGAATCTGTGAGGCCTCTGGAGATTCTGAAGGGTCAGGAGCATCAGCAGGATATCCCTGGGCAGCTCAGGATGGGCATCCCTGTTCCGTCCAACCCTGCATCCCGAGGATTGCATTTTGGGGGAAAAACCACCTGGGTTCCTTGGAAAAGACTGAGGGAATTGGGGCTGTTCAGCCTCCAGAAGAGACCACATTAATGTAAGTATTTAAAGAGGGATGCCAAGAAGATACAGCCAGGCTCTTCCCGGTGGTGCCAGCCACGAGGAGAGGGGCAGAAACTGATGCACACCAAGTTCCACCTGGGCACGAGGAAGAACTTTCCCGTGCAACGACCACACACTGGAACAGAGACAAGAAAGGCTGTGGGGTGTCCCTCACCAGAGATATTCCAGACCCGTGTGGTCACAGCCCTGTGCCTTGTGCTCTGAGATGACCCTCCTTGAGCAGGGGGTCGGACCAGCTGAGCTACTGTGGTCCCTCCCAGCCAGACCTGGATCCTGGTGCCCATCCCGGGATTCTGATCCTCATCCCAGGATTCTGATCCTCATTCCTGGATCCTGATGCCCATCTCGGTATCCTGATCCCATCCTAGGAACCTGGTCCCCAACCTCATATTCTGATCATCATCCTGGGATCCTGATCCATCCGTGCCGCGATCCCGATGCCCATCCCCTGATCCCGATCCCATCTTCGCGATCCAGATGCCCATGCCGAGATCCTAATGATCCTGATCCCATCCCACGATCTCGATCCCATCCCATCCAGCGATCCTGATCCCATCCCGATGCCATCCCAGGATCCCGATGCCCATCCCGATGCCTACCACGATGCCCATCCCAGGATCCCAATGCACATCCTGCCATCCTGATCCCATCCCGATCCCATCCCGATCTCATCCCAATACCCATCTCGATGCCCATCCCAGGATCCCGATCCCATCCCAACGCCCATCCCGACGCCACCGCGGGCCCGCGGGGGTTCCGTGCCCGCCCCGCCGCCGGCCCCGCCCCGCCATTCCCTTTGTGTCCGGGAGGCGGCGCTGGGCGCTGGGCGCTGGGCGTGCGCGGCGGGAGCCCCGGGCCGCCCCTTCCCGTCGCGGCCCCGCGGAGCGGGCAGGGGGGCGGGCGCTGCTCCACGGCCGCCGCTGGAGCCGCTCCCGCATCGCGCCCGGCAGCAGCGGGAGCCCGGCAGCCCCGAGCGCCGGCTCCGTGCGCCGCCGGGCCTGAGCGCCGAGCGCCGGCTCCGACATGTCCGGCAAGATCGAGAAAGCAGGTGAGCGCCGGCAGGCCCGGGGGCAGCGCGGGAGGGGACGCGCCGGGCCGGCCGCGCTCGCCGCCCGCCCCGCGGAGCCGCCACGGGCCCGCGGAGCCGCCGGAGGAGCCGCGGCCGCCGGGGCCGCGGGAGCTGCGGGAGGTGCCGGCGGTGCCGCGGGCCTGGCGCGGCCCGGCGGGGCGGGGGGAGCCGGGCAGGGCCCCCCGAGCCCGGTGAGGTCCCCCCGGGGGCTCCTGACAGCGCGGACGGCGAGCGGGGCCCGGGCCAGGGCTGGGCCCGGGGGCCGCAGGAGATGCTCTGCCCGTCCCCCCGGGGGCTGGTCCTGCGCTGCCCGGCCGCTGTTTGCCTCGGGCTTTGTGTCTCCTCCGTGTTTCCCTTTTTCCTCGCTGTTTTCCTCTTTTCTCCCCTAGTCCCTTTATTTTAATTTTTATGTTCGTGCACCCGTTCCGTCCTTGCCGTGCAGCCGAGCATCAGCGCTGCCGGGCGCTGCAACGCTTTGGGGCCTACGCTCCATGATTAATTTCAACTTCTCCCAACTTTCCTGGTGTTGGTGCAGGATGAGAAAAGATGAGTCCGTGGGCAAATGTCAGAGGGAACTTGCCGGTTTTTTCCTCCCTCTTCCCCTTTGCCTGGGGTGCTCATGAGAGCCAGGGGAGGCTGCCGAGGTTGCTGCTGCTCTCACAAGGAAACGCTCAAGCACGGATCATATTGTCTGTCTGTGCTGCTGGAGTCGTGCCTGCTTCTCAGTTGTCACTTTAGATGGTTGAATGACCCTGTTTTTCTCTGTAGTGGGAGTAGTACGCTTAAAGATTCAATTAGCGTTGTGCAAATCAAGCAGCGAAGTTACGTAGTTTAATTACGTTGCATTTAATTAGCAGGGAAAGATCGATGCTGTTTTGTGTATTTCATTGTGGGGAGTAGCTGGGCTGTCTCCTCCTGGGGAACGCAGGGCAGCAGCCCGGGTAGGGCTGTGCGGAGCATCCAAGGCTTCCCAGGACAGCGGCCAGGGATGCAGGAAGGATCCCCGATTCCAAGGAGTGAAGTCGGTAGCATCGCGTTCTGCTTGTGCTCATCCCACCCTGGAGCGCTCCGGAGCGGCCCCGGGGGATGAGCCGGCTTCTCCGTGCTGCTCCTCGGCGTGCTTCCAGCCCTTCACACTGAGTTACTGTCTGACAAGTGTGTGCCGCATCGGGGGACAAATGTTACTCCAGAAATACCGCAGGTTAATCCAGTGCACCATCCCTTTCACGTAGCTTTGCTCCTGCTGAGCTTCTCCATGCCTGTCCCCTACTCCAGCGAGCAAGGAAGGTGTTAGCAGAGTACACAGACCTCGGGCCAGCTCTGGAATAATTGCCACTTGTTTATGCTTGGAGGTGAATTTGGCTTGGGATTTAGTAACTGTAGACAGTAATTACAGACGTATAAATAAGTGATCACGTTTTGTTTATTCGCGTGCAGTAAATAACCCTGGGAGAATAGTAAATAGAGCTCCACACCAGAGAGGCAGTGTGAGGAGTTCAAGCACAGGAAGATAACTCTGGAGACACACACAAACTCAGCACAGTTCCATAAACAGTACAGCAGAGAGGCCAAGAAATACCATATAAATATAAATACCGTATAAAATATCATATAATAGCAATAAAATACCATATAAAATCATATCCTGCACAACCTAGAGACCAGCCACACTGAGCTCCCACTGAAGAATTGCAGGATCTTGCAAGCTCCATCCCCAGGTTGGTGCTGTGAGCGTGCAGTTGGAAAATGCAGTGGGAGAAGCCCTGATGCAAAGACGTTTGTTCCAGTGAAAGTCCATCATAGTGATGATCTGCTGAACAAGAGAAACTGTAAATCTGGGAATCTGTCCTCTTTCAATTGCTTGCACTTTCATTTCTTTAGGAAGGATATTGAAAAAAAAAAAAATCCAGTCCAGATATAAATGGGAGGAGAAGAGTCAGGGAAGGAGGGTTGGGAGCCAGCTGTTCCAGAGCAGGATTGTCTCCATCGCTGTTTCTCAGTGTTTGAACTTCTGATTGACACAAACAGTTTGGTTAATAGCGTCACCAAATAAACACAGCCTGTAATACCACAGCCATTGGGGGTAATGTTTGTCAGAATGTGTACAGTAGCAGAACAGAGGATACAGACTCATGAAACAAATGCTGTGAGGTCCAAGGTCTGTGCATTCGTGTACATTTGAATTTATATTTCTTACAGGGACAGAAATTAATCCATTATGTTATAAATGAAATAGACTATTGACTGGTGACAAGCCATGGTGACAAACTTTGGGGTGGGCTTTGGTTTGACTCCATCTAGACAGGCTGCTGGAAAAAAATGTGTTACTCCTTACAGGGTTAGACCCCCAGAGACCTTCATACATCTGCTCCCTGCGTCCTTAACTGAAACACCTTGTTGGCACTCAATAAAAAACAATAATAAATGATTAGAGATAACAGCTTCCATCCTGTCCATGAAGGAAGAGCAGACAAGGCTCCCTCTGGAGCCTCTCAGTGCTGCTGTTTAATCAACAGAAGGGTCACTGTAGAGCAATTCAGAGCTCTGCTTTGGAGTGAAGGGCAGCCATCTGGTAATGCAGAAGAAGATGGTATATTTGGGGTTTGCTAGTGTTAGAGCCCCTGCTTTGTTAGGCTCCTACCAGGAGATTCCAGACACTCTTCCAAAGCAGAACCCTCCTTGGTTTGAAGAGAAGGAGTGGCCATTGGCTTCTCTTTACACCAGAACTGTGACTTTTTGTCTTCACTTTCAGAAAATATTTGCTCTCTCCCTTTTTGATGTGAAATCCAAAATAGGGATGCCAAGAAAGAGCAGAGAAGGTCACATTCTGCTTGGGTTTCCTGTTACCATGGCAATGCATGAATTCCTGTTTTTATTTACCTGATGGATTACGTGCTGCAGGGAATTCAGCTACTCTGCATCATTCGGGGAGAGTAAGGGAGGAATTAGACACCATCAGCTCTGAACCAAAACCTTGTCATGAAACAAGTCCATTCAAAAATTCCCTTTTATTAAAACCAAAAAACATATGGGCGCCATATTTTGAAGGTTTATTCTACTTGGTGTTTTCACTCTTGTTATTTCTTTCAGGGTTTTCATTTCCCTTGTGAACTTGGTTTTCCAACAGCTGCCTGCTAAAGGTTGACAGAGCTGTTTCAGGTGTTAGCTGCCTGGAGTGCAGGCAGTCATCTCCATTCTGCTCAGGACCCAAAGGGATGTGTTTTTTCCCAGAAGACAAAAAACACTGTTGGCTTTACCTTTTACTCATAAGCACTTGCCTGATAAGCAAATTCACCTGAAATTCTCACCCTTTGGTATTGGTGGGATAAACATCTAGGGGTAATCCCAGGAGAAGTCTTCTTAAGAAAATGACAAAATTGAAGAAACAATTCGGGAGGTCACGTTATTCCCATCTTTGTAGGAATTTAATGTTCTGTCTGGACTCCTTCATGCCAGTTTATGTGATCCTGAATTGTTCATCTGCGAATATTTTTATACTAATGTGAAGTTTCCCGGAGGTTTTGTTTTTGCAGAGGGTATATTTTGAACTGTCATCATGTCTTGGATCATTTTATGGAAATTAGCCTGCCTGTTTTATATACCTGTACAGTTTTATTTCTTTGTCTGTCATGCTTAGGTGGGTTACTAGGCAGGACTCTCTCAGTTCTTTTGTGCATTCACAGCTGTACCATGTTCCTCAATATTAAATGAGGGCTTTCAGGTTAGAAAATTTTGCAGTTGACCAGCTTAAGTGCTTCTCTGTTGGTGGTTTTCAAGCAAAGTAGGAGTTATCTGCAAATCTGAAAATTAGACCCTTCAAAAAACTTACCTCTCAAGCCCAAAGGCAGTTCAGTTCCAATTCTTCCTTAGGCTTTTAGCAGCTACTGTTTCCTCCTGTGTGCTGCTCCCATAGTGACATCCCAGGTGTGTTTTACTGTAACTCGTTTCAACAGCATCAAGCTTTCAGGCTGGTGTTGTGTAGAGGTAAAATACAGGTACGAGACAATTGCTGATTTCTACAGAATGGCACAAGGAGCAGAATTTGGCATCTTTTGTAATCCATTGTAGGTTGACAGGTGGTGTGTTCCCAAATGTAGCCTGTGGGATAAATGCTGCAGGGTTGAGATGGTCTTAGCAGTTGTAAGTAGGAAGTGGGCAAGGAGTGGAGCAAAAAGACAGCTGAAGGCTACTGGAATGTGAAGCAGCTGGGTTGTGCCTTAGTCAGTGAAAATCAGAAACTGGAAACAATTGCTAAATTTATTTTCAGTGTAAGCAATCGTTTTCCTTGAACCACAGTGACTAAATATATCTCTTGGTTGTGATTTTTATGTGGTGGTAACTCACTGGCTCTTGCTAACCTCCTGGCAGGCAGAGAGAGGAGTGGAAGTTCACTGTCAGTCAAGACTGTAAAACAAATATCCCTCATTTAGATCTCTTGATTCACTTATGTGGCTTTGGTTGCTGCAATTGCCTGAGTGGGAGAAACCTGGGTGTATGTTTCTAGGGGAGGGAGTCAATCTGTAACTCCTCTTTCAATTTCCTTGGGGTTTTGTTCATGTTTTTGGAAGTTCTAAATTGCAGTTGATGCTCTAGTAACTCTATTGTAAGTGCAGATAGATTCTAATGCAAAGGTGTGGTATTTTTTTTAAAAGAAATATACATTAAGACCTTATTTTTTCCAAAGTGGAAAGCCTGAGGGTAGAATTGGCAAAATGAACTTTGCTGTTGACTTACAAATCCTTTGGAAGGAGAGCATTCCATCCAGAATTTTAACAGCATTTGAACTGCAAGTGGAAGAATGTGAGGAGTTAACTTTCTAGACTTCATTTTAAAGAAGCTGGAGAGATGGCTGTACCTTCCTTGGCAGAGACATTTGGTGGCTAATCAGGTTTAATTCAATCACTCAATAATTATATGTATTATAGGCAGCTCTCAGTTGAGCAAGTGGGAGCTGGAGTTGTTTGTTACTGTAGCACCCA